CTAGTCTCGGACAATCTACAATAATCGGTTGTGACATTTGGATGAGAGGTGATTTCTTAACCATGCGAGATGGAGACGGAATATTGCTTATGAAAGTCCCGAGAAGTGCAAACCAACTTTACAAAATCCAGTTAAAAGTTGGTAAATTGATGGGTATTCGAAGCGAGTTTTTCGGGTATTCATTTGCGGATTTGAAGACCGGTGTTACTTCGAGGGGGAGTTTGGTCTTGATCGCGCGAGCTCGTTGGATATTAAAGTCGAACATCCAATCCTAACTTTGAAGACCAAATCGAATTTCAAAATTCAATTTTGACTAATTTGACTCCAAGACTTCAATACCTTTCGACTTTGAATCAACACCATTTGATATCGAATTCAAAAATCAGATTGATCCCAAATCGATTTCGATTTTGACCTGAACAACCTCAAAAAAAAAAAAAAAAAAAAAAAAAAAAAAAAAAAAACGATTTGGACTTTTCCTCGTGTTTGACTTTTCGATTCCAGATGTTAAAACTCCAATTTTTCCACTTACAATTCCTTTTCAGATCAAAGTACCCACTTTCAATCAAATTCATCTTATTCATCGTTTGTTCTTCACTGGAAATCATCAACAATCACTTTCTGGAATTTCTCATCAAATTGATTTGATCTCAACATTTGATTCACAAATCTTAACCTACAGCGAATGAAAACCAATTCGTCCATCACAATCGTAATCACGAACTAACAACCATTCGACCCATCTGCTTGTCGATATCGATTCAAACCTTGGAAAATAGACACCAACATCAACATCGATTTAGACCTCCAAGCCATCGATCCTCAATTGACTCATTTCGAACCATCAGAGTTCAATTCCACTAACCACATGTCGATTATGCACCCTCGACATCAAGGCAATCGACTCAAAATCGAAACTCCAAAATCAATCTTCAGTTTAAAGCCACTATGTTCGTCAAAACAATACTTCCAATTCGACATCCAAACCAAGATCACAACATCGATCAACTCCAATACGTTTGACTCCAAATAAACAAACACGTTCGATTTCGATCAACACCATGAGATACCAGTTGAAATCGACTTTAACTCCAATTAAAGGACGTTCGCTTCCAAATCCAAACCACAAATGTGTTAGAATTGATTGAGTAGTCAACGCCTGTCGAACTTGATTTTGACTTTAAGATGCATAAACGAATTTGTTATGATATTGGGTTTCGAAGTCAGATGAACAGAAAAGGATTTTTGGTTGGGCTCGATGTGATCAAAGAACAATAATAACATAAAATTTGGGCTTAAAAAAAAGAATTAATGTTTTGGATTCAATATGGATCAATGAACATTAATTTTGATTTTATTTTTGGGCTTGATCTAACAAAAAAAAATTGGATCAATCAATGGGGTTGAAACGGATTTGATCCAATGAAGCAAATCGATCAAAAATGAAAAACGCAAAATACGAATCGAAATCATGGACGTATTGGAATCCATTTGAGAATTTGAGATACCTTTTTGACGAATCGAGATCCATTTGCAACGAACGAATCAAATTTAGAAGATCTTGGTTCTTTTGTTGGAACGAGAAAATCTCCAATTTCAATATTGTACCACCCACTATGCGTGATGTACAACTCGTTCTTCGTGTTCTTCGTGTTCTTCATAAAACCAAGAACATCTTCAAAAGAACCACAAACACTTTTGGGTTTTGACTTCAAATTCAATGCAACATTTGGAGATTGTTGCTTTGGAACCCAAATTTGTTTCACGGATTTCGGCTTCACAACAACATTTGAATAAACCCGCTTGTTTTTCCGTTTAATCTTCTTCTTCTTTTTCTTTCTCATCTTTTTGCATCTTGAAGACTTGATTTCATAAACAAACCCACTTTCCACAACTTCAACTTTGTGAGTTTGAATCAAATCTTTTGGAGTTTAATACTTGTGATTTTCTTGGATCATCGGCTTCCGATAAGGAATCATTCCTTCAAACGAATCACAAGAACACAAAATATCATCGGTTTGAACTCCAACCGAGCAAAAAACTTTTTCATCATAAGAATCAACTTGAAATCCTTTTTCTTGAACATCATGATCATCATCAAGAATACCTTCCCGAGCTTCACGACAATCTGCATAATATTCAAGTTTATTGCTTCCATATTTGCATTCAGCACGAGGAATTCCTTTTATGACTTCTCCTTCTTTCTTATTTCTTTGTCTCTTTTAAAATGTTGTAACCAAACGATCAAACAAATCTTTGGTTTGATAAATTGGACAACTAATTAATTCTCCAACTTCATTCTTTTCTCCATTTACAACAATATCACATTCACTTTTCAATCCAACAGTCAAGCTATAAAGAAGATATTCAAAAGTGCATTCACTTTGAACATCTTTACTATGTATCATCCATTTCTCCATAATTGCTTCTTTTCTTTTGAATCAATCGATATGAACTTGGATTTTATAGAGAGCTAAAGTAAAAATCAAGGAGATCTCTAGAGAGAGAAAGTGAATATGAACCAAATTCTAGTGAGAGAAAGTGGTACAAACAAGTATTCTAGAGAGAGAAAATCGAATTATGGATCAAATCAAGGAAAAATTCAATTTCTAGAACACATACACTCTCTAAACACGAAGATCAATAAGACTATGAAGAATCACCAAATCTAGATTGCCACCATGGATCAATTCTTGATCAAATCAAGAACACCCGTTCTGATACCAATTGTAGTTGTGTTGATTATGATGACATGTGCAGAATTAGAAAAGATCTAGTGATTCATCATGTAAACTCAAGAACACAAGGAGTAAACTAATCTGTGTAAGCTCATATTAGATCTAGAAAGGATATACAAATGGGTTTGTACAAATTTCTCTCTCTAATCTAACACTTCAAAATGATCATCTCTAAATATGAGTGTCACTCACTTCCTATTTATAGGAAAGACAACTCATTTACACATTAATAAGGGTAAGCCACATCCAAGCGTGACTTTGCACCCTAACATAAATCACATTACTTGCAAGCCAAGTTTAATGAGAAAGCTTGGTTATGGCATGCACGACTTGACCATATTAATTTTGGCACGATTAAACTTGATGCACAAGCTAGCTAAAGGGGTACTGGCAATCCAACATCAAGACCAACTTTGTGAATCTTGTATGGTTGGAAAACAAACGAAGCAATCATTTTCAAAGAAAGCCAAGTTTAGAACTACAAATATTCTCGAGATGGTACATGTAGATATTTATGGACCGATTGATCCCCCCCCCCCCACCAAAGCAGGTAATATTTATATTTTAGTTCTTATTGATGATTATTCTAGATACATGTAGTCTTTTTTTTTAAAGCATAAAAGTGACACATCCAGAATTATTAAAAGATTCAAGACATCAATTGAAAAGTGAACCGGTAAAGAGATCAATACTTTCCATACGGATAGAGGTGGAGAATTCACATCACATGAGTTGAATCGTTTTTGTGACGAAGAAGGAATTTCATGTATGTTGATAGTTCCTTATGCACCTCAACGAAACGGTATAGTCAAATTATGAAATCGGACTCTACTCGAGATGACACGGTGCCTAATGAACGCGAAAGATATTCCAAACCACTTTTGGGGTGAAGCGGTATGACATGCAACGTTCATCATAAATTGTACACATACTCGAGCATTGATAGGTGTGCTACACCATTTTTATGGTGAAAAACTAAACCTTGAAGACTTAAAAATATTTAGTTGTGTTACATATGAAAGAGTAGTCTTAAAACATTTGAAGAAGCTTGATGGTAGGTCACGACCATTGGTGTATTTTGGAAAGAAACCCAATTCGGGAGGATTTCGGTTATATAGTCCGCGAGAAAATAAAATCATTATAAGTGTCTATGCAATTTGTGATGAAAATAAGACATGAAAATGGAATAATGAACCAGAAAATCAAGATGGAAATGGACCGGGTACAATTATAGTCTTGTGGAGTAATGATCAAGCAGCCCAAGATAATGGTGGTTCGGACCCAACTGCAACCGAAACCGAACAACTCATGGATCCGGCCTAAACCGATGACACTGCTCACGATAATAGTAGCCCATCGCAACCCGTTGATGATTATAATAACGTGCAAGTTCCGTCCCACCCCGCTGTTCTACTCAAACTTCAATGTTGCCAAGAAAATTAAATGACTACGAGCTTAATGTGGATCATTTAATGTTGACATTCTATGAAGAATCGAAGAATTATAAGGAAGCCAAAACGAACAAGAATTAATTGGCTCGATATTACGAAGGTCATAGCTGGGATAAGGTTTATAGAGATGAGATCGTTGCTTGGTATGCAAGAATTACCCTCGACTCAGAAATTCAGGGGGTGATTGTTGGAGAATTAATCTGAGTCCAATAAGGCAGCTGGCGTGTTTGGATCAGATCACAAGAACTTGGAGTGTTGTCCAAGGTTTACAAGTCTTCCTTGAGCCATAAGGAATGCTTATATGGAAAGTATTAAGAAATCCTAGTTCAATACTAATAAGATATGTTTAGTATAAATTAGATAGGATCCTGTATTGTCTTACATCAGATTGAAGTTTTCGAGTTATGTTTCTTCAATAAAGTCATAAATGAGTTTTGGAATTCCTGTTTTCTCTATTTCTTTTCTTTAATAAACCACTTGATATAAAAGTTTCGTAATTTTCATGAGTATATTTGAGATTATCCTAACATATATGCATGAGTTCCAAATGCAAATGATCATTTATGTTCTTTTGTCAAGAAGGAAGCATAATGATCATTTATGTTCTTTTGTCAAGAAGGAAGAATGAATATTGAATAGAACATATTTCAACTATGATATCTTTTAAATATATATGTTTAACTAGAATTAGATAAAAGTATCGTACTGATATGATTTATTAACCAACTAGGTTACATTTATTCTATGTAGTTGATTTATTAATCAACTAGTTTATATTTATTTTATGTTGATTTATTAATCAACTTGTTTACAGATATTTTATGTCGATATATATGATTAATACATCAAGGGCAGAATGTAATGAGATAATCAGGCCCGGTAGGGCACGTAAAAGTGCTTGACTTATCGTCGTAGGCATAACTATAAGCCTTTGGGCAAAGATTTTTGAAAAACTTGGAATAATTAGATGGCGGGCATGTCTCCGGTGTATTGTTGGCGCCAGTGCAACAGTATTGCGGCTCGTTAAACTCCAGGCATGCACTTTTGCACCCGCTTGTGCTACCGGATCCATCCTTCACAGCCAACTCTGATGGGCAGCTAGCATTTATGTCAACAGGACAATCGGTGGTTGGACAACCCCCGCCTTGTGGAACCACAGAAACCGGTAGATTAAAACCATCAACAAGGCTAACATCGTAAAAGTCTGTAGAACTCGCATCTGCTAAGGTGAACTCAACTAGGGTTGCAGGTGGGGCTGCACCAGCACCGTTGCATTCTACTTGACCAGAACCACAATCTCCGCTGCTGCAACTGTATCTTCCGCCATTGTTTGAACAGCCGAACCGAGCCCATACTCGACCAGACCATGATGGCGTCATGTTAATGGAGTTTGAGGCTTGGGGTGGCAGTTCAAATCCTGTTGTCACTGGTGTTCCAGTACTGGTCAAAGTGCCTGGTGCAATGGTGTATGGGCAATTGTTTTTTATTGTGAACACCGTTGAACGAACACCTGCAAAATATTTGATTTAATAAGCATAATATGCATGGAAAATCACATATCCAACGATCAACAAAGATCAAAACCATGTGTATTGTATGTAGATATATGCATGCAAAAAACTAAAATGTTACCATAAATTAAACTGATGGATAGGAAAAGGAAGAAGAGATGATGAATCGCCATGTTGAGTACGTTTTGTTGAAGTTATACGAAAATGGTTGAAGGGAGTTTGGGTTTTATAGGAGTAGCTACATTAATTAGAAATGGACACGACAACGACAAGCTACATATTTAATAATAATAATAATAATAATAATAAGCTCCATTCAATACGTCACTGCGTTCCTTCGGTAATTTCCGATGTAATTTTACCGTCGGTAATCTGTAGTTATTCCTCCACTTTTCTTGTAGTGAAAATATTTAAGTTCTTAGAATAATCTACATCATGACAAGTTCAAATCGGATTAATCATTTCAAATTCCGACGATCTCTTGTACGTAGAGTTTTTTTTTTTTTTTTTGTAAAAATTGGTTCCTTTTTGAATTAGTTTGTAGAAATAGGTTTGTTTGAAAAACCTTTGTAGAAATAGGTTAGTTTTTAGAGGGACCCATAATTCTATCACTAACAACTCCTATTTACTGACGATCTAACTAAAAATTAATATGTATTTGCATTTTCAACCCTGACTTTTTACAATTTCAGCCTTTTTAATTTGATATTATTTTTCATTTACCTCTTTTATATATAAAACTCCAACTTTACCTCTATTATATATCATGAATAATTTACTTTATTTAAAATATATAGTTAATTATAATTTACATAATATTTTTTAAATACATACCACTATTGAATAATTTAAAATATATAGTTATAATTTACATAATTTTTTATTAATAATTTTGTGTATTTCAAGTTATTGAGAGATATATTTTATTATTTTATTTCTTAAAAAAAACATATAAATTAGAATTATACGCTTTAAATAAATTAATTGTGTGTAATTAATAACAGTGGTAAAACATGGTGTTTTCAATAATAAAAAAGGTAAATAAAAAGTAGATAAATTTTGAAGGGTTAAAATTATAACATATGAAGGTTAGAAATGTAAATATATTAAATTTTTTAGTTAGAATAGGACCGTTAGATTTTTAAAGCTGGTGGGGCCATTTTAAAAAACAACCTATTTCTACAAAGGTTTTCCAAACAAATCTACTTCTACAAATTGATTTAAAAATCACCCTAGTTTTACAAAAAAACTCCTTGTATGTAGATAGTATCTAAACATTTACTGCAATTTATCAACAAAATGAAAATAAGCATCGCGTTTCACATCCCACATAACATAAGAACATACACAAGATTGAATATATATATATATATATATATATATATATATATATATATATATATATATATATATATATATATATATATATATATATGAAAATGACTTATATGGGTAACTTTTGTTTTTGAAACGGCAAACTAACTAATCTACTCCTAAATAACTACTTATGTCTCCACCGAGATTTGAACCTCTAACCTCTCATATGAAATGGTCACTCCATACCGCTAGGCCATTGGCCCTTTGGTACTTATATGGGTAACTATGTTTCAAAATCGTTCAAAAAATACCATTCAAGTTAGGTGTGTCCAAAAAACATCATCCAAGTAAAGTATTTATACAAAAAAACACCAACAAAGTACATTCTTTGTTCAAATTTGACCTTTGGTAACCGGCAATTACCGGTAAAAAATAAGTAAAGAAAAAAAAACAATAGGAAAATGACTCAAAGAGGTAACTATGTTTCAAAATCGTTCAAAAAACACCATCCAAGTTTGGTATGTTCAAAAAACACCATCCAAGTAAACTTTTTGTACAAAAAACACCAACAAACTATATGTTTTGTTCAAATATTACCCACCGGTAACTGGTTCTTAAGTGTTAAATGATAATTTGGCTTAACTATTATGATATGGCATAATAATGATTGACAAAACAATAAATGATATATTTCTCCTTTAAAAACCGATTTAGGGTTTCTTCATGAACGAATGACTTATTCTTCTCCTATGATTGCTCGTCTTCTTCCAAAGTGATGATCTCGAACTCAAGTCCAAAACTCTAATTCTTAACTTAAGGCAAAAATGGCTCCTTTACCCCTGCCTCAATGGACCTCCCTCCCCCCCCCCCCCTAAGGCCCAAATCCATAAAAAGCTCAAAAAGGCATCTAAGGCCTAATATGGCCCAAGAACCCCCAACATGGCCTTAGCCAAAAAATGACCTGCTACAATCAGGTGGGCCCGAGGCATTTTTAAGTTAGGCATCGGGCCCACCTGATTGTAGCAGGTCATTTTTTGGGCTTAAGGCCATTTTTAAGTTAGTTGTCGTCATATTTTATATTGATATATGAATAAACCATTTATCATATTTTTGTTACAGTTAATTTGTTATTCATATATGAATAAGTAGTATAAATAATATTTCAACTATAAAAAATTAAAAATATTTTTTTATTAATAAGTGAATAATGAATGTATTGTAGTAAAAATCTAATGCATTTCTATTCACTTATGAATAACGATAGCTGAAACAATAAAAAAATAAAATTTTTAATTTATCTTAAAACTATATCAATATGAATGTCTATTTGTAGAGAATAAAAAATTATGAATTTTGATATATTTAAAATCATTTTTTGATAAAAATAGCTCCTTAAAAATTAAAAAAGGAAAAAAACTATGTTTTTGTATATATTAAGGTAATGATTACTATAGTTTAAGGAAACATATTTTGTTAAAAAACACATGTCTTTTCAATTCCCATTTCTGCCGGTACGATGGAGGCTTTTGCGACAAAAATAAATGAGTTGCTGAGAATGATTCTCCCATTCCCAACCTTTTTTATTTTCTCAATTGAACTTACCGCATATATATATATATATATATATATATATATATATATATATATATATATATATATATACACACACACACACACTAGGTGTGAGACCCGTGTATTAAATGAATTTTTCTTTAAAAAAAATTAATATATTTTGTTAAACATTACATGTTTAATAATTTACAAAACTGAATTTGAAAAAATATTAATATTAGCTGTCAGTAAACCAATTTTTGCAAATTTTCTGTAAATTATCATGAATTTAAAACGGATTGGCCGAAAATTATGTTCTTCAATTAGAAATGTTGATTTGAATTTAATATATTAACTGGCAAATTACGTGAGAATTTATGGAGACATTTAAGTTTTCTTATTTTCTTTATTATATTTTTAGATTAGATTTTTTTATAATTTAAAAAACAAAGTCAAAAAACCTAAAATTTGCCAAATGGATTTAAATGAAATTGAAAAAACTAAAAAATGTCATGTGACATATTGAATTAGGTGGTGACATGAGATAAAAAACTTTCATATATATATATATATATATATATATATATATATATATATATATATATATATATATATCCTTCTAAAGAAATGTGTCTTCCAAGTGAAAAAAATTCATTTAGAATTCCGCTCTAGAACTGCGTCATAGTTGCGATACATACTCAAGAAAAAAATTAATCCTACTATACACATAAAAGTCAATTAGAATTCCACTCTAGAATAATCAGCTTGCAATATGGTAACGAGTTTTCGTTTTTTGTTCACGTTCTTGTTCTCCTAGAACTTTCGCTAATAAACTTTTTCTTACTAGAGATAATCTTTGTTTGATTAGGTCATTAGGATAAGAACAATGTGATTTCTCGTGAAGGATTTTCCACCTAATTAATATAGAGGATGAGTCCACGCCATCGTTCACAGACATATGTTTGGCACTCTTCATTGTTGATTGACCATGATAATAAATATTACCTAAAACTTTGAAGGCTATTTGGGTGGACAGTGCGATGACGGGTTTTGTTTTTGGGTCGGTGGTAATGCCGATGATTCAATTACAACCATATGGGTTGTGTAACCCGTGACTCTTCAGCAAACAATAACAATTTTAAATGTTTTTTTTTTTAAATTAAACTTTTTATTATAATTTATAAATACCCCTCAATTACATTTCGAAACCACACCTCTTCTTTCTTTCAATTCCAATAGTTTTAATCTTTAAATTTTATTAGCTTTCAATTCAATTTTGAAATGGATGTAATTCCTTGGCCAGTCGTATGCTTAGAATGGTTCGAAATCTAAGAGTGGCGTCGGTCAGAGTATACACTAGCACTTTCGAAAGTAGCCAGTGTACTCAACATAGATCGTGATATTTGTGTGGATTAGTTCTGGATAATTTTAAGCATCATCTTGGGGTCCGAATCATTCAACACATCAAAACGTCATCAAATGGAAAGATATGTAAAGAAAGGTGAAAGATTTTAATGTTATTGTCACCCCACAAGATGAATAATCGGGAGGTCCGAAAACGGAAGATTGAGTTAGAGACACGGTGAAAGAGGAAGCAACATGTAACGCCCCAAATTTCAACCCAAATTTTTCGATTAAAAATTTATGTATTTATTCAATTCACAACTACATGATCTTGAAACATTTATCATAATATCATTAAAAGTTACCAAGTACACAAGTCCCCCATTGATGCGATGCAATCGGGTCGTGCCCCTCCTTCAATATAAGAAAACCTGAAACATGTAAACCACAAATCGTAAGCACAAAGCTTAGTGAGTTCCCTAAAATACTACACACATCACAACACAAATAAACATCTATGGGTTATCAGCAACCCTAGGGACTATCAGCCGTCCCAGTGGGCTAACAGCACGCCCGGTGGGTTATCAGCAACCCTAGAGACTATCAGCAGTCTCAGTCACATATAAACAACATAACACAATAATAACAGCTAGACCCAACTGGTCATCACAAATACAACTATTCTACCACACAAGCTCATACAAACATGCGAGAGTCACAAAGACAGCTAGCATCCTACATACATAATTTAGTGAGCCGACATTGGTGCCTTCGACTCACGAACACCGGGAGAAGACTCGCCTGAATCGAAGAACCCTGAGACACTACGACACGATGCATTTTATGCATTGCTTGCACCCGCAAATCCACTAATACCAGAACCAGATAAAATATTAATTAATAGCCAAAAACCCTCAAGTTTGACCAAAGGTCAAACTTGGTCAAAAAGTCAGCGATCAACGGAAGTTAAAGTCAACAAGTCAAACTT